ATGGGGGGGATGTGGGGGGGGATTGGGGGTGGGGGGGAGCCCGCATAAGAGAGACCGATTCTTTAGGCATCCAAGGGTCCAATTCCAATGGTGGAAATGGAATGGATTGGTATGTTTCATAGGTGCAAGCTGAGGCACCGACGGGTCTAGCTCAGTCGGTGCAGCTATGAACTGTTGAAATGCGGGCCCGAGTTCGAATGCCCAGAGGAAATACAGAAAAACAATGAAATAGAATGCAATCATTTTATTAAAAAAAAAAAGAAAAAAAAAAAAAAAAGAATGCAATCATTCTGAATGTCATCATCGGGCCGCTCAGCTAGGTAGCACTGGGTCAAACAGAGCAACAGGAGGCGCGCACCTCCGAGGCTGGCTCGGGCGATAAAAAAAGTCGGCACAAATGAGGATAACGAACTCGACTCGCCGCCCATTGCAAAGCGAAAAAAGAAACAAAAAAGGTACGATCGGAGGCAGAGGCAATCTGAGGGCTGACCTTGCCGACAAGTGCTGGAATTGTGCTGGAGTTAGTTGCAAAACCCATCCCATACACCATAGCCGCCTCCTTGCCCAAGTACGTCGCGACAAGATTCTCAAGCTCCTCATGTTCAGTGGTCATTCCTGTGGCACATGCGATCAACAAGAAAAACAGCGCAGAATGAATACAACAAGAGCCTTGAATACAACAAGAGCCTATCTAAGGGCTTCGAAATTGATAACAAAGGGGCAAAAGAGAAGACAATCCAACCTTCAAAAAGCAGAAACAAACACTTTCAGATGCGTGAAGCCCAGGACTGCAGAAGGGGTACAGGGAACCGGTCAGTTATTTTAAGCCCATGATGAAGCTAACTTAGGCAGGGGTGAGGGGTGGTGGTATATCCTTTCCCAAGGGAAGTAATAAGTATGCCGTCCACTCGGGACCTCCCAACCATAATGGGGAGGAGCGTTGCGTGGGTGCGTGCGTGCGTGGGTAAAATTTGTATGCTCTTGACTTTCCCGTGGAAATGGAAACGGACTGTAGAAGGAGCCTTGTTTGAAAAAAAAAAAAAAAAAAAAAAAAAAAAAAAAAAAAAAGAGAGTGAGAGAGAGAGAGAGAAACCTTCTCCGGTCAGAAAGAACTTAGCAATCAACAAGAAAGTTGAAGAAACAGCACAGAATGAGAACAACAGGAATCTTTTCTCGGGGTCTGCAATTGACAAACATAGGGGCAAAAGAGAAGACAATCCAATGAATTCATCCTTCAAAGCAGACACCAAAACCTTCACGTGTGCGAAGAAGGCCAGGACTAGCTAGATGACCAAAACCTTCTCTTGTCAGAAAGGGCTTAGCAAGCTTCAGACTGAAGGAATGAAGGAATTGTTTGCCGACCTTTGTATGACTTGGAAATCTCCCCCAAGGCAATGCACTCATATGGACTATTGTGGACAATGTGGAGTGAATTCAACACCTTTTTTCTGGTACCTGCCTGCCGTCCGCAAAGTGATCAATCGGCCATTCATCGCGGGGGAGAAGGGCAGAGTGGCAAGCAACTTTGAAATTCCACTCGGGGGGCAGCAGGGAGCACAGCAGGGGACTAAACGGAAAAAACTTCAAAAAAGGTTTCACGGAACTTTCACCCTTAAAAAGGACACAAGTAGATCGGAGCCTCGTTTGTACAAGGCGGATTCCCCCTGAGCACCGTTTTATTTATTTATTTATTTATTTATTTTTATTTTTATTTTTTTCCCGGTTTGGCTGGCACTGCCAGCCATTTTGGTCCGGCCCCGGAAAATTCCGGGAACAAGCCGATTGTTGTTCTCAAGTTGCCTGGGGCCACGTAAACCACCCCTCCCCTTCTTGCCACATTGCTTTTTTTTCTTTGCTTCGGGGAGAATGTCTGTTGAGTCGTGTTTACCCATCTCGTAGGGTCCAGGCTCCAAAATAAATCAAAAGAAATCAAAAGAAATCAAAAGAAATCAAACTAAATAGGTTCAAGTGAAGGGCGGAGAAGCAGGTGCATGCCTACAGAATTTCCATTGCTGCACCCCTGAATAGTTCAGGGCATCAGTGGAAAGGAAATACTGGGGGCAAAGGAAATGATGGAAATCTGACCCAACGAATGTGGAATTGCAGCCACACCCATCCAACACCTACATATCCTACGGCAGGCTGAAGGCAGCAGTATTTGGAACAGAAAACGGGATAATAAAAATAAATTAAAAAAAAAAAGAAACCAAAACAATATGGACTGACAGAAAGCAACCGAAAAAAAATTAACAGTTTTTTTGCATCAAAAGCAGGGGGGTTGCATACCTGCCGACCGCCGACCGTATGGCAGCCGACCAATAGGGCCCAGCAGTCAGAAAACAGCCATCCACTGATTTTTGTTCGAATCTGAGTTGAGGGCAGTACTGTGCTTGCCGAGCACAGCCCAAATCCGCTGAGAAACTTTTGGGGATAGTTCGGGGGGGGGGGGGGGGGGGGGGGGGGGGGTATGAGGGTGTTGGGGGATGGTTTCGGGGTGGGTACCGGAGTGTTGGTGGGGTTATTGGGAGTTATGGACTCCCATAATTTTTTTTTTTAACTACCTATATTCTTCTCTCAAATACCTATATTCTTCTCTCAATGTACCTCCCACTACCTACCTACTCACATCTTAGCAACCGTGAAGGCCAGTCTCTTAGGACATTTATCTGAGACATATTTTTTGTTATCTTTTTTTTGGGGGGCAGGGTGCCGACGAGCCCCGACTGGTCGGCTGGTCGGCTGCTGACCAGCCGACCAGTCAAGGCGCGCCAACCATCAGAGGATGCAACACTGATCAAAAGTCGAAAAGCAAAAAAGAAAAAGACATTAACTTTTCACAGCCCACTCAACTTCCAGCGGTGCACTTTTCTCAGCCTGCAAAGACCTCATGTGGCCCTCCCTCGTGACCAAATACATGCTAGCGTATTTGACAAAAATACAGACCTCAGTATCATCATTACAAATTACAACCAAGTCACTCAACAGCATTACGCGCCAAAATAATTTAGATGCTAACTGAAGCACACACCAGGAGAAGTCACCACACAGTATACTATATTTTTTTTGTTTAATTTAAAGTTTAAACTTTGAAGTTTAAACTTTAAACTTTAAAGTTTAAAAAACAAGAAAAAAAAACGATTTGAGTTTTCAAAGCTAAACCCACTTCAGATGGAAACAGACAAATCTCACCCTTTGAACCTTCATTCCAAACGGTGCTACCGTCTTCACCCGAATAGAACGCCCGGTAATTATCGCCGTATCTGGGCTGAAAGTTGTGCCAAATACAGCTATAATGACCGGGCGTTCTATTCGGGTGAAGACGGCAGCACTTGCTAACCTAGCGTACGCTCTGGCGAGCAGAATGAGTGCCCGGGTTGACCCAATAAGCCCCTTTTTCGAGGCCCCTTTGCGCTCTGAACAAAAAAGGGGGCCTTCTAAACAGAGTCAACAGACCCCTTTTCAACCATAAATGGACGGAAAGAATTTTGTAAAGCAACTCCCACTTTTCAGGAGAAAAAAGATAAAAGGGGAACGAAGTGTTGAGATTCAGATGTTGTCATTTGACTATCTATACCTGCATCCAAGCATCCACTGCAGGTGCTTCCTGCAAAGCGCTCCAATGATGCAATCACCCTTCCTGTGCAGAATTCATCTTGGGCAGCAAACCCAAGGTAGTTGTAGGACCCCAGATTTAGGCATTTTTGAACCTTTGTCGTCTGCCTGCCTCCATTACAGATCACAATATACACAAAGGAATCAAGGCCACTCCTCAGGACCCACAGAGTCACCGACAAAAAAACAAAAAAAGAATGTCGCAAAAAACAAAAACAAAAAAGAACGTCGCCATACTGTAATGAACTGGGTATCTTCTTTTATATTTAATAAATTAATATTTAATATTATTTATTCAATTTTATTCTTTATTACCATCTTCCCCCGCATTTGCCTCACCTTTCTGTCCAGATGCCGCAAACATGTACCGTGTACGTTCTATTCGGGGGAGAAAAAGGTAGTCATCAGACCTTGTTGCAATAATAAACAAAAGGAATCGACTTCACTCCTCAGTACCAGGAGGACAGGAGACAGAAGAAAGGAGAGAAGAGGTGAAAATAGAGAAGAGAGAGAACAACTGGAGAGAGGATGAAGATGAGGTTGACGGGGAGACAATGCAGACAGACATGGAGACGAGGAACAACCCACAGCTAGCAAAACTGTCTTGGGAGCTTAAACATAGACACCACTTACTTCAAGGTTTTGTTGTTATCAAAGCTCTGTCGTTCAACAACATCGATCCAAGCACCAGGTGCACTACAAATTGGCCGATTCCAGCAATCCTGCAAACCACAGCGGTTTTATTTCTGTGTAAAGTTGTAAACGCATTGTGAACAAAGAATCTGAACAAAGAATCTTGATGATCGCAACTCCGACCGAACCTGCACTTCATACAACCAATCCAAGTATCCCTCAAACTCTGCGATCGGATCACATGCTGATAGGTGCAGCCCACCTCGCCCACTTTCCGGCCAGTGTACCCCTCACAGCTGATCATCCAGCCAACCTATGCAACCCCAACCATTCACAATCTTCTGAATAAACCTTTCTTTCGTTGTTTCCAAGTTCTGAATAACCTTTGAGAGTAAACTGAGTGGTTTTAGTAAATTATATTAAAATACCACAATTCTGAACTACCTATGGCCAGCCATTCTTTGTGAAGTTGTAAACAAAAAAAAAAGAAAAAAAAAAGGAACAAAAATAGCCACTGCATGATGCACGTCCCTTCTTTTCTTTTTTTTTCTTTTTTTTTTTTGCATGTTCTGGTTTGCAATTTCTGAATGTATTTTTAAATTTTTACTATTTTGCGCTTAGAATACTTTGCCGGCCCGCATCTGGGTACAAACTTGAAGGAGGCCACGGGTGCAAAACGTGCAAGCTGCAGGGGTCCCCCCCCCAAGAAAAAAGGAGCAGGTACACAAACTCTTGCAGCATTCAGAGCCTGCAGGGGTCCCCCACCCCACCCCACCACAAAAAAAAGGGGTTTTGACGCATCAGATTTGTAATGTTCAACGTGTCAGGGGCAAAACGAAAATTTAGCAGAACTGAGAGGGATTTTTTTCCAGCAGTAGGTCCTAAGCTCTGTCCAATAAGTTCAAAGCAACACAGCCCTAGGAACAGCCCAGGTTCTAGAAAACGCCGCACGGCCCCAGCCTTGCAAGATTACTTTTTCATCACATACTCCAAAAATTTTGGAGGCTTGGGGTGACCGGACCACAATGACTAGCGGCGCCGGCCAAGAAAGAAAAGAAAAGAAGTGAGCCTTTAGCGGTTCGGCAAAGCTTGGCACGCAGTGCGGCACCACCAGGCCCAGGTGTACTGGCGGTTTAAGGACTGTAGTGTAGGCTACCGTCTTCACCCAAAAAGAACGCCCAGTCATCATAGCCGTACTGGGGGCGACTTTCAGTCTAGATACAGCAATTATTTCAAGCGTTCTGTTCGGGTGAAGACGGCCGGTTCGAAGCATATCGAGGGTAGCTTGCAGACTTAGCAGCAGGGTACTGTTTCCTGCCAAAAAAAAAATGGAGCTCGTCTACCAACAGGCAGGAGCTGCCAGGAGGCAGCCTACAGACCTAGGAACAGCCCCTGTGTACTTAAACCGGCAGTACACAGCCCCAACCTTGCTGAAAATGAACTCGTTGCCCATCCAAAAATTTTGCGCCTGGGGCCTAACCGGACCACAATGCCTGGCGGCGCCAGCCGAAAACAAAAAAAAAGTGTGCTTCTGGCGGTTCGGCAAAGCTTGGCACGCAGCGGAGCACCTCCAAGCCCGGGCGTACTACCGTCTTCACCCGAATAGAACGCCCAGTCATTATAGCTGTATTTGGCACAACTTTCAGCCCAGATACGGCGATAATTACCTGGCGTTCTATTCGGGTGAAGACAGTAGTGGTTTAAGAAGGCCGTACATAGGCTAGGTCGTACTATCCAAGGTACCTTCCTGCGAAAATGGGAGCTTTCCACCAAGATTGGAGCAGGCGGGAGCAATCAGGATGCAGCCAACTGGTAGGCTTAGGCCGCGCACCACTTCGACTGAGCTCTGGAACAATAAGATTGAGGGCATACTTACACTAGGACCTTTTCGACAGAACTCTGCACATGATTACGGTCAGATGCATGCAAGTCTCGCCGTAATTGCAGTCACATACATTGAGGAACGTGCTACCTTCTTCCCCCGAAAACAACGTACGGTCATTATAGCTGTATTTAGACTGAAAGATACTCCAAATACATAAAGCTATAATGACCGTACGTTGTATTCGGGGAAGAGAAAGGGTGCATGGCCTGAGTTTCAACTTGCAAATTTGACATTTCCGTAGCATTCCCACCCACATGTTTTAAATCCACATTGATTCTTCAAAACCTTTTTCCAGTATGGGTCTGTTGATCCTCTTACTTTTCGACACTGCACCAGACCAGCCCAGATCAGCACGGTCCAGATCCAAAGGACAAATGTAGAAGCAGGGGGGGGTTCCACTTTCAAGGTAGATTGGGCGAATCCTGGTCATGAACAGGAGTTGGAGATCACACACCTGTATGCGGCGGTAGAAGCGCCGGGTGTAAAAATCCTCAAAGTCGCGACAAAGAGGGGCGTATCCCTGCATTCAAGAAATGAGTGACACAGTTGGTAAGAACAACAAGAGCAAAGAATATGAGAATTGCTCATACCGACATTACCCACTGCTGCCACAACCGCCACATGTTCCACGACCCCAGTTTAACAACAGTAACAACAGTAACAACAGTAACAACAGTAACAACAGTAACAACAGTAACACCCGTAACAACGGTAACAGCAGTAACAGCAGTAACAGCAGTAACAGGAGTAACAATAGTAGCAACAGTAAAAACATTAACAGCAGTAACAATAGTAACAACAGTAACAGCAGTAACAGCAGTAACGGCAGTAACGGCAGTAACGGCAGTAACAGACGTAACCATAGTAACACCAGTAACAATAGTAACAAGGGTACCTGTTGCGGCTTCGCTCGCAAGGGATTGAGGGGGAAATGGGAGAAATGAGTCGGGGTGATGGGTTTGGGGGGGGTTGGGGGGGGTTGGGGGGGTTTGGGGTGGTGGTCGGGGGTGTTTTTAGACTCATGGTCCCGTGGGGGGTTGTGCCCTAACAGCTATGGCAATGTGTGTGCAGCGCCTCCTGCTAGTTGGGGAGATTCTGCAACAGCTGGCTTGTGTTGGAAATCGGCATGCTATGTCTACCTCTACTGTCTTCCCCCGACTCTAGACTGAAACCCAGCGGCGTACCTTGGTTGGTATGGCATGCAACTGGCATTCATGAGGTCTTGGGTTCAATCCCGTTGGCCTCATGTACCTTCCTGGGCAAGCTTGGCGCCAGGCACGTACTGGGTGACTCTCTCTCTCTCTCTCTCTCTCTCTCTCTCTCTCTCTCTCTCTCTCTCTCTCTCTCTCTCTCTCGCGTGCCCACACGTGCACACACTCTTCGTGTGTAGCGTGTGTGTGTGCTTGGGCGGGTGGGCGTCCGTGTGAGTGTGTTTTGTTTCGTTTGCGTCTGTGCGAGCACATGTTGCCTTGCCCGATATTCAAGAAAGAAAACTATGCCCCACATGGGACCGGGTTTTCCCCAGGCTGGCAGCCCTACGATGGGCCCTCTTTTCAACGGGCTCAACAATCCAGGCCGCCCGCGATCCTACCGGGCCGATGGCTCGGATCCTCCCGTGATCTTAGGACTTTGACATCGCGCAACAATCCAGGCTGTCCGGCAGGGCAGACGGCCTGGATCGTCGCGCAATCTTCAAGTCTTAAAGTCTTAAGATCGCGCAGAAATTCGGACCGTCGGGCCGGTAGGACCGCGGACGGCCCGGATCACCCAATTCTCACGTTAGCGATTTCTATATACTTGTAGGGACAACAGTAACAGCAGTAACAGCAGTAACAGCAGTAACACCACTGTTACACCAGTAAAAACAGTAGCACACAGCCTCCACATGGTCCATGACCCCAGTTTAACAACTGTAAAAACAGTACTAACCTCAACACGCAGTTGTGACCGCAAGACATTCAAAAAAAAAAAGGGAAAAAGAAAGGATTGATAGGAAAGAAGACAATCGAGTCTCAGATGGTACACCCATAAACTGTTGAAATGAGGACCTGAGTTCGAATCCAGATGAAACCAGATGAACGAAATTCCTGAATTACCTAGGGCCGGTCAGTTTCACGACGATATCTCATCTTGAACCACCACTAGCTTTCTCAGTGTTGGGAAAAGTGGGAAAACATCCTATACCGCAAACTTCGGAGGTGCCGAGGAGGCTCGGTATGAAAGAAAAGAAAAAGAAAAGATTGGGACCCTGTGGGCCCACAAAGAGAAAACAGAACAAACAAACAAACAAACAAACAACTTCGAATCTTGCGACGTCGGGGAAGGCCCTCATGGAGGTGGAAGTCTCACCAGTGCTTTGAGGAATGTATCTGGGCAGTCCGTGTGGAAGTGTGCAACGTGATTAGTACTGATTACTGATGTTTTTTTTTCGTTTTTTGTTTTGGCTTTTCTTGTAGTCCTTTCATGTCCGTGCCCTGCCAGCGAGGAACGGCATTACTGTTTTTTTTTTTTTGTTCTTCAATTGTTTCTCAGCGGACAGACGCCCTCACTGAGGGCACACTGGCACAGTCTCACCGGCACCTCATAGAATGTATCTGATGGCTATCACGGCATTAGGGAAGTTTCTTTTTTTCCTTCTTGTTCTTTTTTTTTCACCTTACGGCCGTGAGTACCAGAAAATAAAATACAATGGGACCCAGGCTTGGCAAAACTCAGTGCGCAGTGAAATTCGGGTTCGGCAAAAAAAAAAGAAGGGTCGGAGGTACTGGTGGTTTCAAAGAAAGAAGAGAATGGGAGTCTTTTCCTCCTGACCTGACGAGTGAGTGGTGCGTCCCACTACAACAAAGCCCCCCCGCCGTGAAGCAGAGTGAGTTCAACTGTCCCATAGGCTGAACGCAATCCTCAGGTCAAGTCCCAAGTAAAAAGGATCAAGGTGCTGTCTTGCCCGGTGACTGAGCACCAGCCACTATAGATAACAATAAGAAGACAAGAGAAAGCAGGGTGCTGGAGTAGGAGGAGCGAAAGGCCGGAAAGGGGAGGGGGAGGGAGGGGGGAAGCGCGGGTGGGAAGGTGATCGTAGAGAGAGAGGAAATGGGAGGAGAGAAAATGATGAGAAAGAAAGAGACAGGGTGAGAGAATGCAGAAAGATCCAATGAGTGCAGCAAACAGGCATTTTATACAGCTCCTTCCTTCTCTCACTCACTTCTCTGTGTGAGTGAAGCCGAGTGAGTTCAGGTTCAGGTGTGTGCCAACTGAGCTAGCCCAGTCGGTGTGTTTTGCCAACAGTGTCGACATGATCTCTCTCCTTTTTCTTTTTTTCTTTTTTCTTTTTTTCTTTTTTTCTTAAAAGTAAGCTCTATTCTTCTCTCAGCTATCTCATCTTCTTGTCAGTACAACTCATCTATCTCATCCACTCACTAGTCTATTTATAGTACGGGGGAACACCAACCAACCAATCAGGATCTCTCCCCCTCTCCCCAGCCCACGGGGTAGGTGGTTGGCACCACAGCTGTGGTGCGAGAGCAAGGCTGTACCAGTCCCTCATCACGGTGATGAGGGCTGGGCAGGCATTGCCGATGGGGGAAATCAGCGGTGCTAGCGCCAAGCAATGGCCAGTCACTGCACCTCCTCCTACCCCCCCCCCTCCCCAACACAACCCCACATGGCCGTGTCTAACTAATGGCCAATATATTGTCACTGCATAGCAGCCAAGAACAGCAGCCAAGGTCCTGCCAATGCTGGCTTGGGGGGCCCACGGGCTATCTCTAGCTGGTAGAACACCAAGCTTGCCCACTGAGGCACGTACGTGAGGCCAGTGGGGATTGAACCCACGACCTCCTGAATGCAACTTCTGTGCCTTACCAACTGAGT